TAACGCAAATGTTAGCAAGGATAATATCTAGATCTGCATCTATCGAGTGTAAAGTGGAACAATAAAAAAAATATGTAGGGTAATTTTATTCTATTTTAAGATAAAAATATATATATATTTTAGGTATAATATTATAAAATATAATATATACAACAATTTTAAATTCTATTCCCGCTTTATACATACGATACCTGCAGTATATTTTTAAATTAAAATAATGACAATAAGGTAACAATCGAAAGGTACACATTAAAAATTCTTTTAAAAAACACATTTGTTTATAAACACACACTATGATTTATAGTGACGTTAAAATAAAACAAAATGAAAAAGCAGGGAAGGAATTTACAAAATAATTATGAAAAAAAATTTAAGAGCATAATATATTTTTATAATTTAATTGATAATGGACAACATTCAAATACTACATGTAAATGCGTTAATGATAGGTATTTATAAGATATTTCGTCTCTATTATTTATCTATCAATTTCTAATTTTTTATTATTAATTTCTTTAGGTTGATAATGACTATGCTGTCACAGATGGTACTACCAATTCATGAGCCAAGAAACATCTGCCACATGACTGGCATCGACGTTGTTCCTAAGAAGATTCAAGTGTATTTTTATTTTTCGGCGAGTATTGTAAAAAGATATAAAATATCGTATTTTCCTCGCATGTTATCGAAAGACTGAGCTCTTAAAATTTGTATAAATTTAATAATTGATTGTGATATATTTATGATAAAAGAATACTTTTCTTTTATAAATAAAAACTTATAATTTGTATGAATGTAATAAATAAGTTTTGATTTTTTATATACATTATATTTTTAATAAGTTATTTATTTATATTATTTATAATTTATTTGTCAGAAAAAAACAAAATATAAAAAAACTCATAAATTATCAGTGAAATCTTTATTCTTAAAATTTCTAAAAATCATTATTTAATAATATTGCATATTATTTAAAATTATCTTAATAATATTTTTTAACAATAAAAATATTTTTCAATATAAATTTTTAATTATATAATGTTAATCTTAAAATGTAACATCACATTTTTAATTTTTTTCATTTCTAATGAATAAGGAAGATTTTTTAAGAAAATAAATATCATTATGAAAAATAAACTAACATTATTTTTTCACATAATTCTTATTATGTATTTTTTAAATATAACTTTATATAAAATCTTAATTATAAAAAGATATAAAACAAATCATTTAAAAAAAATATAGAAAAAATATTTGTATTTTATATATAATAAAATTATTTTTATATATATTTTTAAAATGGAAAATTTAATTGCGTAAAAACTAATAAATTTTTTAATTTTTATTGTTTTATTTAAGAATATCGTATTAGTATTTTGCTTTAGAAATGCAAAAATCACATTTAAACAAATAAATTTCATTTTTCATTATTCATGGCACAATTTTCGATATTTGTGTGTAATTTACATCTTCACCATAAACGTTTTTTACAAATAGTATTAGATAAAAGTACCAATTGTATATAACTGTGTCCTTCGCGCATATTTATTAATCTAAAAAATGTTTAAATATTTTATGAAAATAATTTTATAATTTAATTTTTAAATTTATTACTTACCTATCTCTTTCTTGTTGTTGAATATGGACTCTATCACCTCTTTGTAATGGAGTTATTACACTTGTATAACAAGATACTTCTGTAGCTGATGTAGAAGATGCTGTAGAACATTTCACAAGTTTTTGCGTAGTGGATTTCCCTTCTGAATTTAATAATATCCAATATGAATAATTTGTTGGCTCGCCAAAATAAAAAATCTAAATAAGAGAAAGAGATTTATGAAAATATATATATATATTTAAACATCAAATAATAATAATAACATATGATTTTTTTACCTGAGCGGAAATCATATACAAACCAGTCGCTGTAACTTCGATAGATTTTTTATCTTCCACTAAATGGAATTTATTTAAATTATATTGAGTATTGTTTTTAGTACTTTTAATCCATGGGCCAATATAAACTAATATAAGAATATTTATAAGAATAAGTATAATTTATTATAATTTAATTAAATTTCGCATTTTACTAATATTATTAATTTAATTTTTTTTTTTTTACATACCTGTATCTGTAATATGTTGTTCCGGTATTGCTCCAACAAATGTTGCCACCAAAGGTCCTAAATGATATCGAAATATCTTTTATATTAAATAAAAAGCAATAATGGGTAAGCAAAATTAATAGTTAACACATATGTTATTTGATTTAAATTATATTTTTTCTTTCTTTTTTTTTTTTTTTTTAATTTTCAATCATATTTTACTTCTGACATTGA